CCCCAAAACCCCAAAACCCCAACAATCTAATTGAAGAATGATTTGGGAAGATTAGATATTTAAATTAATAGACAGATCTTACCAAAAAGCAAATCTTTTTAGTCAGAATTAATTTACAGAATTTAATATAAAAACAGTAGTTTTAAGCTTATTTTTAAAAAACAAAAATCAGATAAATTCATGGAAAACTTATCAAAAATTACAAGTAACTAGCAAGTTGATAACATGGTACTAAAAAGCTCAGTTGTAGCCCCAATCATTTATAGAAATAGACCAATAATTGCTTGCCTTTGTGGAAGATTTTTTGGATTATGGAATAGATTTAACTTTATAATCAAAGATAGAGATCAGACAATGCATTTCAAATCATAATCAATTGATGTTTAGGTTCATGACATGATAGCTACCATCAACATATCATAAGTGTTCCTTAACGAATTATAAGAAGCAGTCGAGGCAACTTACGAATTTCCCACTGACCCAGATGTTGTAGTTTCACGTCTGGTCATTGAAATGGATGATAGAGTAATCGAGGGCAAGATCATAGAAAAAGAGAAGGCCTAGGAAAAATACGATGACGCCATTGCTGGTGGTAACGCGGCAGTCCTAGTTAAAGAGAAAGATTAAAATAAAGATCTGCTTCAAATGACCATTGGTGGAATCAACTCTCAATAAGAGGTCAAAGTGAATATTTAGATGATCAAGCATTTATAAATAGAGGCAGGGGCCTATTGCTTGAGGATTCCAACTTCATATTTTATCAAGAGTTACAATGATATAAAATTAGTACAAGACTTTACTGCAAACAAAGCTAAATTCTCAACTAAATACTCTTTCACAATCAATGTCGAGACATCTAACCCTATAAAATATCTAAGTATTCCTAGTCACTCAGATATAGTGAAAAAATCAGAGAATTCTAGCATGTCTTATACCATTTCATAACTTGACGGTAGCCCAAAACTTTTGAAGAAGGATATAGTAGTTTATTTTAGGACTAGCAAAATGGATCACCCAACTCTTATAGCTTAAGTTCATCCTGAAAGAAAGGATGAGATTGCTTGTCTAATGTCAATAGTTCCCACCTTCATACCTCCTCAATCATAGGAAGAAACTGAAATAGTTGTTGATAAAAGGCCTGATGAAGTAGACATCTCTTTTCCTAAGTCTGATGAAAACCGAATGGTATTCATATTTATAGTTGACAGAAGTGGCTCTATGATAGGAAATAAGATGGAAATGACATTAAAAGCTTTGAGATTATTTATAAAAAGTCTTCCTCCAAATGCAAGATTCGAAATAATCAGCTTTGGCACAAAATATTATGGTATTAGCAAAGATAGATAAGGATTTATAAACAATGATGATAACTTCAATAAAATAAACGTGGCTATAGCTAAAATGTCTGCTGACCTTGGGGGAACAAATATACATGATCCCCTTGAATATGCTATTACAAAACTATTTGTCAAAGTTACACCTAATTAAATTGAGGAATAGAAAATAAGAGATATACATACTTTGATGAAATCGCCTATTGAGCCCATAGACTAAGAATTAATAAGAAAAATATTCTTACTCACTGATGGAGCTGTAAATGATCCTGCTGCTGTCCTAAATTTGGCGAGTTAAAATTAACAGAACACTTAGATTCACACATTCGGAATAGGGAATGATTGTAGTAAATATCTTGTCAAGCAACTCGCTAGAGCTGGCAGAGGTTCATATTCTTTTGTTGAAGAAGGTGATAATCTCAATGCAAAGGTAATCAGAGCTCTTAAAAGAGCAATTGAGCCTTCTCTATAAAACTGTAGATTTGAATTTAGTACTGATTAGCTAGAAATTCAATCACCTATAGGAGGCTTAGTAGGAGAGGCATTCAGAAATGAA